AATTAGGTGTAGGTCGAATAATTTGTACTCGTAGACTACAGTTCTATTTACAAATTGACATATCCGCCAACAACAGGTTTGATATGCACAAATACATATGTATGTGTAAGCCCGCGCAGAGGCAATCAAAAACAAATATTTATATTCGTATTTACATATAAACACAATTTGTCTTAATATGTTTGTGTTTATGTTGTTGGTTTTGAATGTTTTGCATTCATTTAATTCGATTCCGGAGTTTATTACAGTTCGATGAACGCGTAAAAAGAAAGCAATGCGTGTTTGTGCTTTGGCAACTCTGTTCTAAATTAATTCGCAATCAAGTGCTAGTAAGAAGCCTACCAATATCAAGATGAAAAGTTATAAAGATAATAGCGCAATTGAGGAAAATTACTACACACTATCGCCAGCATGGACAGCCACAACGACGATATCTTACGCCCACTTTCCGCGGACGAATTCAAAGAGTTACTACAATTATATCGTGTTAAATATGGCGAGCAAAACTTCCATTACCTGTTGATGTACAATCAGAATAAATGGAATGAGCAGCTGAAGAATTTGAATTGTAAGGTCAAAATTGGCGAGGCCGACGAATGGCTATCTTTCCGGAAATACTTTTATACCTACCGAAATGGTGATTTTAAGAAATATGGCACCTATGTCAGTCTGCACTATGATATTGTAAGTATGAGCATATGTTTTCAAATATTTTTAGTAAATTTATAGCAAACTCGCAGATGCAAAGTGTCTCATTTCATTCGTGGGAGCCAAGTCAGACGGAAATATTGAAATGTTTGCGTGAAACTAAATTGATCAAATGGCGCGAGGGGCCGTTATTAACAAATGTTGATCTTGAATTCTGTGACGAGGTGAAAAAGATTGCCTTAGCTAACGGCGCAAGTGTGCAACGCGCACGATTATGTATATTTTTAATATTGGAGCATGAAAAGGCCGCCATTCCTGCTTTGGAGAGGTGAGTAAAATGCATTTTATACAAAATATTTTTATAAAATTATCTCTATCATAAGCTTAAAAGACGGTTACACTGTTAAAAATCTGAACGCCAATAATGCGTCGCTCGTGCATGAGGTGTGGCCCAATAAGAAGGAAGGCTCATTGGCGTATGTGAGCGGTCTAATCGCCTTAAATCAGACAGCGGGTATTTATAGAGATAGTGACGGTGAATTGGTGGCATGGGCTTTTCAAAATGATTTCTCTGGTTTGGGGTAAGCTTGCTTTCATATCTTTATATATTTATTAATAATAATTATTATTTATTATTCAGCATACTACAAGTTCTGCCAATGGAACAAAGGAAGGGCTTTGGGGTTTTCTTGGCAGCATATTTATGCAAACAAGTGACGACTGTGGAGAAAGTGGATTTATCAGCTTGGATTGTAAGTGAAAATTTCAAATCTAAAGCGCTGTTGGAAAAAATCGGCTTTCAGGCAGTGGCTAAGGCAGAGTGGATACAATTGAACAAAATTTAGATAATCAAAAATTTGTAGAACGAGATAAAGTAAAAGTATATGGAGTATAAAAGAAAAAATTTAAATTTTTTGACCATTAATTAACATAAAAAAAATAATAAAAAATATCTAACGAAGCATATTTTTAACTTCAATATTAAATTTTACCCTGAAATGTTAATACTAAAAATTCAAAATATTGTTTAGTTTTATATTAGGCTTTTTTGCAAATTATATTTAATTAAATATATTTTTAATAACGAACTTTTTCGAAAATTTCGTATATAACCTCACTTTTTTTCAGCACTTACAAATCAAAACACGTACCAAAGAAATAGACTAAAATTATTAATCTTGTAATAGTGTATTTGAGAAAATGAAAATAAATAAAAAATTGAATAAATAAAAGTCATGATAACGTATCCTTTTTTTTACTTCATTACCGCGTCACTTAGTTTTATTGCTTGATGTAGTTTTCACATACAATTTGCTAACGAAAACTAATGTTAGTATAAATTCATACAAATTAACCCTGTTTTACAGACATACAGACTTACAGACATACATATGTATGTATTTTATTTATTTACATGCTACAAATCTCGCTGGGAAAAGTTATTATTTATATACATATAATTAGTTATTATTGCATTACTATTACATACGCATACCATGTCTTTACTTCTGTGTCGCGACTTTATTTTCCTGGAGTAAGTTGTAAAAAAATACTATATTTACACAGCTGAACAATTTGGTCTGTATTCTTCTCTTTTATAATATGAGTCAACAAAAAAATATTGTCTATCTAACTACGCTTCGCTTAACGGTATTATCACTTATAGCTACTAAACAAATATATATTTTCATAAATTAAACAAAAAGTAAACGTGTCGCCGTACTGCCATTTGGAAATATATTCCCATTCGTTAGTAAACTATTTGTTGGTATTGTATTAGTATTTGTGAACGGTTTTTCACCACGTTTGTTAGCGAAACCATTTGGGTTACTTGTCGTTGCACCCTGATAATAAGGGTCAAAATTTCTGTTGAGTGGTTCGTATTTAATACGATGATTTTGGGTTAGAGGTAATACCGTCTCAGACTTCCGTGTTATTTGTTTGGCCTGCAAATAAAATTTGATGTAAAATTAAGTATGCTAAAAGGCAAATAAACATGTTAATGCGGCAATTACCCGATTATAACATAATACGCCGCATATTGCCAAAGTCATGCCCACGCAGTTTAACCACGTTACGGGATTCCCTAGAATGAATAGCGATACAGCTATCACAAAAATACGCTTTGACGCGCTCGCAACTGCATAAGTCAATGGCGAAACTAGTGAAAGCACATTAAAAGCTATAACATTTTGTAACCAATTCAAAACACCATCAGTGAATAGCAAAGCAATCACGCGATAATCGAAACTGGTCTAAAATTAAAAAATCACATATTTTATTGTAAATTTTGTTAAAAAACTTTATGTTTTAAATTACTCACAATAGCAGGATGTTGTATGACTTTAAAACTGTCCACAAATATCCAAATTGGTAAGAACATAATCAAAGCCAATTTGCCCAACAACTGTAGAAGACGCAGATGATGCATTCCGGTATCCTTAAGCACCTGTAAAATATGTGAGTATATATCGACTTAAAAAAAAAATTTTTTTAAATAAATACCTTTTTAGAGAAGATGTTCTGCAATGAAAAACCCATCGTCGATATGAGCGCACTTATTAAGCCAACCATGTCGAATGAAATCTCGGTTAAGGTAGCTATTGCAACACCTGTTATAATTGGCACCAAGCTGAGGTAAACGAGAGTAGGTTGCTTTTCACGAAACAGCAAACGTGTCAAGATTACAGTAAACAGCGGCATTGTCGCTTTGACTATAAAATATATGTTTTAATACAATAACATGCGGCGCTTTTTAATAAATTTAATTATGTAAGTAATATAAAATTTAGACAAGTTGAACAACTGTTATGATTTTTTTTTTAGAAATAAAAACTTTTTGGAAAGAAATCCGTACTTAAATTATAACAATTTTAGTTTTCGGATGCAGAGTATAATCAGGCGCCAAGTTTGAGTTTTAGTAAAAAAAAATATATATATATATTATATATAAAATACTTGCCAGACACATCTACAAAATCAAATTTTCTTTAAGTAATTACTTCACATTTAAAGTTTATCATTTAAAATCACTTAACATGCGAACTACACATATTTTTAATAAACAACGAGATAAAAAACAATTACTTTTTTGTACACGCTTACCACGTCAAAGATAATAGGTAAACGTGTCAATAAATGATATCTTGCAACAATTATTATTAGCTGCGTGCAAATATTTCCATTTATTTACTTACCTGTGTGAGCATAGGAAACTGGCACTTTCCATAGAGAAATATGTGATGTGACCGATGCAAGAAACTTTCCCAATGCTAGTGGAATAATCAAACGCCAATAATATCCTCTAGAAATATTTTGATACTTTCGTATGCGCCACAGATTGAAGAAAGGTCCACTATACAAAGCTATACTACACAGTTGCACCATTGTCACCGTCATAGGAAATGGGAACTCGTTTAACACCATTTTTCCGATGACGTTGTTGCTTGAGGAAATCACATACCACAGCACACATAGCGTTAAAACAGCCAGGACATGTCTGGTGGACTCAGTTTGTAATCGGTTCCGCATCTTTGTCCACTAAGCTACGTAATCACTCACACGTCGTATCAAGTGCAGCCTTCTACAGCTGTTTACTTTAATAAAAAGTTCTATAATTTTTACCACATCCCTTTAAATTAAGGGAAAATACGTACGGGAACTACAACAAACCGACTTTTTGGCAGATTGTTTTACTTATTACGTTGAAAAAATGAGAAGAGAGACATTGCAAAATGTCTGATATAGAGTTACCAGGTCTTGTTATTGGCGCTATTTCCGTGTACAAAATTAAATAGCGGTAAATACAATATTTTAGCATGAACTGTTGCATATCCTGTCAATTTAAATTGCTTCCGGAACTCCCTGGTCTTACATGTAATTTGAATAATGGCATGTTTCGTATTATTTTCTTCTGATTTTGCTGCCATTTGTAACAGTGAGATATACAGACTTTTCCACAAGAAACCATCGACTTCTGTCATGTACATATATTATAATCCCTCAATTATCTTTTGTTATTCGGTAGAAATTTAATCTGGCAATTATTTTAGTATATTTGTCACATTGATTGTCAAACACAATTTGCTAACTACACTTTGATTTCCAAATATCTTCCAAGATTTTACGGACTGACATTAACTTATAAAATTTAAAAAAAAAGTTATCACAAACATCGTGAAATATATATTAAATTTAAAACATTTAAAATCCAAAATTGAAACTATTGCAAAACTACAGCTGACAGAAGCAGTGTTGATTGTTGATTGATGTAAACAAACAAGACTAGGGTGAATGAGAAGAAGAAGCAGTAATAAAACGTGTGTCCATTTTTGCGTCTGTGTGTCGGAATTTTTGTGATTAGGCGCGTTGCTCTAAAGAAACTGAAGAAAAACATTTCGCATACATTTAATTAAGGAAAATTCGATAGTGCATGTAAAATATTGGTTTATTTGAAATAATAAGAGGCTACGCAATACTTCTTGTTTATACTTGACGCGTTCGTTATATGAAACTAGAATTGTGTTCTTTCTAATAAATACAGGAGGATAAAAAATGTATTGTTAGAATTTCTTTACATCTTGTCCAACGAACGTTTTGTATACTCCAAAAGCCAACGGATTTGATGTTGATATAACAAAGCGACAAAAGAATCTTAAGATTTGTTATTTTTTTATTAAGTGAAAATGGTAAGTATGTCCTGAAATATGAGGCCTTTCATTTTATTTTTGCCAAAATTGTAAAGCCTAAAGATACCTAAAAATAATTTAGCCCTACATATAACAATAGGCTGACGTATCGTAGAAATACCATAAATGGTTATAAATTTGGGTAATAGTAAAAAGGGCAGCGCCTGTTATAGAGTTCGTTTTCTTCTCACGCCGGTAAAAAAATATTGGTGGGACGGGATTCCTAGATTACTGCCATAATTTGCTGGTGCATTGAACCACTGTACGTGTTTTTATTCTTTATTACGAACCGGTTTCCTTACCTTTAGCTATTGTATTCGATGGTCATAAACTGTAACAATGACTATATATATTTGTACGCAAATCTGAAGCAAGATCACTCTTGCATATCACAGTTACTACATACCTTCTTAAGATTGTCTATATAAGTTTGTAAACAAATTACTTAAGGTAGTTTACAAGATCGAGGAATACATGATGAAATATTGGGATATTCTCTTCACCATTGTTTCTAATTATCAGTATTTCCAGAATTTAAATCTTTTGTTTTCATGAAAATTTTCTAAACCTGTTAATAAATATGAAAGTGTTCGGCATCTCAAAGATGATGCGATTAACCAATAATATAAGTGGATTTGTTATCTAAAGATTATGCCTAATTAATAACATTTTCATGCTTATCAACAATATTACAAATTTAATTGTTGTGACTTCAACAGCTGCAACAAATTATAAATTTTGACTATTGGGTATAAAACTATGTCACAACAAACGTAAATACATATGAGGTATCAATATTGTTGACACCCACATCATCAACACTTGCGCTTATTTGGCGTACTTAAGAAACCGGAAATCAGTTTCATTAATATTGCATCGATTTTTGCTTGCAGGGCGCAGTCTGTTAGATCACCGCCTCAAGACCACACGCTTTTCTTAAAAATTCTATAAATTAAAAAAAAAAAAATTCGATAATATCCACTTTGTCCTAATTATGTGATAACGGTGCTAATTTACATATTTTATAAAAAATCTAAATACATACATACATATTAGTTATACTAATTAGTGAGCTTTTTTACGCTTTACTCATCTCTCTTATACACATACATACGTACAACCAACTGTAGAGCTCACCAATTGTTACACGTCGTGGTGCGCAAAAAGCTAAAATACAAACTCGCGCAATGGTCAAATCAGCAGTAGCAGCTAGCAAGCCGAGCGCAGCGCTACTAGAAGCTAAACGCAAGGCGAAATTACTCAAAATGCAGGAACAAACTCAACAAGATCAAGTTGTAAAGGATATCTTCCAAAATGTAAGCTTCGATTAGCTTTAACAACACAGGAGCTGACCGTGGCATGTCATTTATGGGAATTTATTTTTGTTTTTATTTCCAGGCGGTCAACGCAAAAACAATAATACATAAGCCTACTGGTATTGTTTATGATGAATCGATGTCGCAACATCGGTGCCTCTGGGACGAAAATCATCCAGAGAGACCGGAACGTTTTACTCGTGTGCTGGAGAGGTGAGTATATTTGCAAATACTCATATTATATATTGTTTGTTTACGCTTATAATTATTAAATAAAATTGCATAAAAGCATTTGTAACTGTACCGCCGTATTATATGCATTTACTATGCATGAGGGTGCGTGTAATCTCGTCTTAAATCTTATCTTCATATTGTTTTTTGAATGCAATCGCTTTTAATTGCGCAGATAAGTTTATATTTCAAATTGAAACCAAGTTAGCTAACAAGGTAGATTGTTAGAATACAAAGTAAGCAATACAATAATAAAACAAATCATTACAACTAACATAACGTGACTATGACCTGTAAAGAGAGCAATAAACTTACTATACAGTAACAATAAATCATAATAACTAACATAACGTTACTATAACCTCTAGGTTGACCGTCCGCTCCTTATTCATATGTCTGCCTGTATATCTATGCGAACTAGACCCTCAGTTTTTGAGATTTCGTTCTGAAACTTTGCTGCTGCTTATTTATCGGAATCGCCGGTATCGGACTATCGCGCCATTAAAATTGATCGATAAAAATCAAATTCTAGTATAGAAAACTTTTTTTCACGTTGTTTCACGAAATTTGGCATAGATTATTATTTAAGATAAAGCTGCAATCTGCAAAGAAATTGTTCAGATCGGACCACTATAGCATATAGCTGCCATACGAGCTGAACAAAAAAACAAAAAAAAAAAACAGTTTAATATCTTTTTATACCCTATTATGCTAAAAAAAAATACGCCTGTGAGAGGTATTATATCTTCAGTGTAGTCGAAGTTAAATATTTTTTCTTGTTTTAAGACAAATTATAAATTATTCTATTTTTCTATTTTTAATGCCACAAAATCCAGATGTAAAGAATTGCAACTCATTGAACAATGTCAACGTATACCATCACGTCGTGCGACAAAGGATGAAGTGCTCTTGCTGCACAGCGCCGAGCATTATGAGCTGCTACAACAAACATCTGGTGTGCAAGATGAAGAGGGAATGGAAGATCTAAGCTCAAAATTCGATTCAATTTACCTACATCCGGTTGGTATCATTGCACGCTAATTGTTTTTCTGCATTGCATAAATAAATTTTTCCTCAATTGTGCTGTAGTCCACATTTGAATTGTCGTTACTGGCCACCGGGTCGACAATTGACTTAATTGAGAACATAACTACCGGGAATGTACAGAATGGTATGGCGATCATACGGCCACCGGGTCATCATGCGATGAAGGCGGAATTCAATGGGTACTTTGAAATTGTCTTACACTTTTGTATCTGTAATTTCGTTTGTATGGAACGCTTGTGAATGTATGTGTATGTGTGTATTCCTCAGTTACTGTTTCTTCAACAACGTGGCCATTGCAGCACAATACGCTTTGGATATTTTGAAGTTAAGCAAATTAATGATCGTCGATTGGGACATACACCACGGACAAGGCACACAACGTTTCTTCTACAATGATCCAAGGTGAGTGCCTAAAATTTTTGCATTTCTAAAATTTTGGCGTATGATATTCCATTTATTGATATTATAGGGTGCTTTACTTCTCCATACACCGTTATGAGCACGGCACATTTTGGCCAAATTTACAGGAATCCGATTTTGATGCCATCGGCTGTGGCAATGGCTTGGGTTATAATTTCAATGTACCGTTAAATAAAACCAAAATGGGAAATGGCGATTATCTGGCCATATTCCAACAGTTAGTTGTACCCGTGGCCGTAGAGTACCAACCAGAATTGATTATCATATCGGCCGGTTATGATGCAGCTTTAGGTTGTCCGGAGGGTGAAATGGAGGTCACACCCGCCTTCTATCCACACTTACTAAGTTCACTCATGAAATTGGCACAATCACGCATTGCCGTCGTACTGGAAGGCGGCTACTGCCTTGACTCGCTCTCCGAGGGCGCAGCACTCACATTGCGCACGCTGTTGGGCGGCATTTGCCCCACGCTGGTGGAGAAAATCGACCCACCCAGTGATGTACTACAAGATACAATATTCAATTGCATTTATGCACATCGCCAATACTGGCGCTGCCTACAAGTCCAGCCGATGTATACGATGGAGGAGCTGAATAACGTGAATCCACAACCGAAACTGCACAAAGTCAGTCGCCTGTTCATTGGCGGCCAACCACTGCCCGAACGCTTCCCCACCAGAGACACGGCACCGGTCACGTTACCCGAAGTGGTGGCGCAGAATATGAAGCGCTTGCAATTTCTTAAGCAGGGTAATTACTGTACATTTATTCAGTGTGAAATATTTATTTTATATATCTTTGCTTAGAAACCAAATTGTTGGCACCAAAAGTGCGCGTTTGCTATGTATACGATGAGCTTATGCTGCAGCACAGCAACACCTTTGAAGAGGGTCATCCCGAGCAGCCGGAGCGCATAAGACGCATTTACGAAATGCATGTCGACTACAAGCTCACCGAACGCATGAAGCAGCTGCCGATACGCATCGCCACCACGGACGAGATCTGTTTGGCGCACACACGCGCGCACGTCAACTTCATACGACGCATTAGCGATAAAGATGAGTTGCAGGGCATGGGTGAGAAATATAATTCGGTCTATTTTCATCCGAAGACATTCGATTGCGCCACGCTGGCCGCCGGATCTGTGCTGCAAGTGGTCGACAAAGTGCTGACTGGCGAGGCGCGCAGCGGCGTTTGCATTGTGCGTCCACCCGGCCACCATGCAGAGCCCGATATACCACATGGTTTTTGTATATTCAATAATGTGGCCATCGCCGCGCAGTATGCCATACGCGATCACGGACTTAAGCGGTAATTTTCGTGATATGTTTATTTGGCAACTTTTGTTTATTGAAATTTCAATTTTAGCGTTTTAATTATTGACTGGGATGTGCATCATGGCAACGGCACACAGCATATCTTCGAATCGAATCCGAATGTGCTCTACATAAGCATACATCGCTATGATAACGGCACTTTCTTTCCGAAGAGCAAAGATGCCGATCACGATGTGGTGGGCAAAGGTGCTGGAATGGGTTTCAATGTTAACATACCGTGGAATAAGGTGAGCCAGACATTGTAGTAAATTACCACGCAAATAATAATATTTAAAATTTCTTGAAAAATTAACTTTAATTAACCACACAGAAAGGCATGGGCGATATGGAGTATGTGATGGCCTTCCAACAGCTCCTTATGCCTATAGCTTACGAATTCGATCCGGAATTAGTGCTCGTCTCAGCGGGCTTTGATGCCGCCATTGGCGATCCACTTGGCGGCTGTAAAGTAACACCGGAAGCTTATGGTCTCTTCACACATTGGCTCTCAGCACTGGCAGGTGGGCGCCTGATTTTGTGTCTGGAAGGTGGCTACAATGTGCACTCCATTTCCTATGCGATGACCATGTGCACAAAATCACTGCTGGGCGATCCAATACCAGCTATACAAGTTAACGGCAATGCGGCACGTGGGCTGAGCGCTGCATACACAAGTTGCATTGAGACGATACAGAATTGTTTAAATGTGCAGCAACGCTATTGGAAGAGTTTGGTCTTCAACAAGCGGCTGCCACAATTCGCTGGCGAAAATAACAATGAGGATTTTCTTTCTGCTACTTTGAAAAATTTAGATATCACAACGGATGAGGCGAAAGGCGTCGTTGGCTGTGAAAATGTCGCTGACACGGCGGTGGCGTTGGAACCGAGCGGCAGTAAGCCGAAGGTAAAAGTTAAAACCCTAACCGAATTTCTCACCGAAAACCTAGAGGTAATTTAACATTTACGGCATTATGTGTGCAAGACCATAAACTAACCTCTATGTTTTTGTTCTTACTTTTCATGACTGCACACAAACAAAAATAAACATTAACTATTTGAAAAAAAAAATATATATATATATATAAAAAATGCGAAATGAAAAAAATTGCGAAAATCAAATGCATCGTCAGGCTTTGCAAAACAACGAAATGTTCGCCGTTGTTCCATTAAAGACATGTCCTCATTTAAAACAGTTGCGTCCTGAGGAGGCGCCGAAAAGTAAGCAGCGTGTCTTTTGTTTTGTTTGAAAACACATTAATTCAATGTCGTGTTCTAGACTTTGTAGGTTGGTTTCCAATTGTTACACTTTTGATTGTTCATTCTTGTTATGGTTGCTTTATTTTTTGTTTTCTGGTGTTTATACAAGTTTCAAATTGTCGCTTCTTCTACTTTCGCTTTTCACTTTTTGTTCGTGCGTGTGTGTGCGGGTGCCACTTTGTATTGTTCTTGTTTGTATAAAATATGCTTGAAAAACTTTTTATTGTCTCATTCTCATATGTAGTGTATCCTTATATGCATTATTGTACATACATACATACATATATACATACCTGTATACATATGTGTTTATCACACATATCTCTGTCACTTTGCTTGTTTCAAATTGACATAAATATTTTATTTATTTTTTACTTATTATTTGCGTGTTTAAAAAAATAACGGTTTTTGCATACATATATATGTATCATACATATATACATATGTATGTACACACCTAAATGTGATTCAATGTTTAGCCATCTGTAAAAGACAGAGAGAGAGAGAGAGGGAAAGAGAGAATGCTATTCGTTATCAAAATAAAATCTTATATTTTATTGTAAAGCTGTTTTTATATGTGTATATACGAATTTAATGCCATAAATAATTATATTAAATTTTTTTATTTTATTATAATATTTCAACGTGCTTTCAGTATTATATTTATATCATATATTTGTGCTTCTTATTGCTTTCATTAATTTTTTCTAATTAAATTCGTAAAAGTTCGAATTTCAATTTTTTTTCGAAAAGTAAAAATTTTAAAACTTTTAGAAAAAAAGAAAATTGAAATTCGAACTAATTTAAAAACGTTTCGAAAAAAAATTGAAAATCGAACTTTGTTTTTAATATTTTCCAACCATACTAATATAACAATAATTTTTCTAATTAATTATTTTGTCTCTGTCTGCGTCTTTTAATTTTTATTATCGAAAATAACGTTTTTTATAGTCATATTCCATCTTTTTTTCTATGTTATATATTATTTTTGTGCTAATGAAAAAATTACTATTTTTGAAAAAGTTAAAAATTCGAAATACAAATTCGAACTCAATTTTTGTAAAAAAGTTTTAATGTAATGCCTTTTATATAATAATAAATTTTATAATTAATTACTTTGTCTCTGTCAACGCTTTTAAAATGTTGTTATCGAAAATAACGTCTTTTTATCGAAATTCCAATTTATTTTAAAATTTCCTTTATTTTATTTTCAAACAAAAAACCTGTTCTACAAACACAAATTTTGTAATTTTCATGATATTTATTACAATTTAAAACAATCAAATTATTTAAAAAAAAAATAGATTTTTGAACTTATTTT